TTTAGAGGCGAGTACGGAAGAGTGTAGGACGTCATGTCAGTATTTGGAATTTGTCGGTGACTGATTTCAACTTTTCGATCAACCTTCTCTGAACGTTCGATAACCCAGTTGCTGAAAGATACAACACAGAGGTTGTTGTCAGGATAGAGCAAGGGTTAATCAATATGGGCAAACACTGAAACAATGGCACAATAGACTTTATGAGCGTGGGTAGCTGGGACAGTTTTCATGGCTCTCTATCGAATAAGACAAATTGTGTCGGAGATGGATGTTAGATATTTGTTTATACACGTAACAGGCAGTGCATGCACACTGCCAATAGGATTCATTTTAAAGCGCCTAGAGCTGTGTTACATGGGAGTGGGCGCTATAGAAATGATCTTCATTATTATTATTATCATTATTATTATTGGGTAGATTAGAGTCCAGCCAGATTTGAAGCTTTGTATTCCAAAACTCAGTAAGTCAATTTTGACAAGCGTCTGATTTCACCACGATGCCTCACACGTTTTTAATATAAACATGACCAATTTATGTATCATTATGTGCATATGAGTATATCATGATTTTATGTAAGTATTTGGCATCGTGGTGAAACCAGGTGCTTGTCAAAATTGATTTACCAAGTTTTGGAAAACCACTCTTCATTTTCATTTATGTATGCTAAAAAAAAAAAAATTAAATCTCCCCAAAGAAAGACCGATTCCGATTCGGCTTGCGAGCTTGACATACGAAATAGTCGAATTCTTTCATTTTCATATTGTGCCGAAATGGTAGCATTTGTTCATCAATAAAGGAAAGTCTGATTGGACCAATTTGATCTGATTGGCAGTGGACACAGGTCCGACGTCTTAACCCACCCAGCACCCAGAGCATATAACCTTTGTCCCCACGTACCAGGATACAGATGGGGAACATCAGAACTACTCCTGTATCTGGGCAAAAATACCACAGTCAGTTTGAAATTGGTCGCTTTTAAGTACAAAGTGGTTGTCCCAAAAATGATTTTTTGAGAAAATCAATGGTAAAGTTTTTGAACCCTTATTTATAGTTTCTTTAAAAGATAAGGAGAGTTTTCTCTATAACCAAACAAATATACACACCAATGAAACAAAACTGTTCCAATAGGTAGGGAAATGCTCACTTTTGGTGTAGGTCAAATTTCTGGAAGCCAAAGGAATATCTGGGTTAGCCCGCTTGTCCTTAAAAGCGACCAAATGTTCATCACATATGTTCACCAAAAATAAAACGGAATTAGAATAATAACCAATAGATCAAGCACATTCGTCACCCAAATCCTCGTCATGGCGTGGTATAGAGTAACAATATTGCTTGGACTCAACATTTTTAACTTCAAAACTTCACTCCAGTTGCTGTACACACACTGGTTTTTGCGCTCAAAGGCCACC